TAAAAAAGGGAAGGGGGAAAGGGGTTTTTTTCCCCCCCCCCCACAACCCCCCCCCGGGGCCCCCCCCCCCCCCCCCCCCCCCCCCGCACTCACCGGGTCGGTGATGGGTACGGTGAAGAAGAGCACCACGACGGCAAGGAGCCAGCTCGCCCAGCCCACGTCGAAGAAGACAACGATCCACTCGTCCACGATGGCGGCGGAGTACTTGGAGAAGTCGAAGGCGGGCGTGAGCAGGGAGCGGTTGAGCCGCAGGAAGACCGACCGGAAGAGGTGGTACTCCAGCACTTGCGCCTGCCGAAGGCCGGTGAAATACCTGCGGAATATGCATTGACAGACACACGCGCGGAGAGCTTAAGAATAACAAAAAAAATAAAAAAAGGGCCGTCACCAAGGCGGTCGTCGCAGAATATTTTACCCATGGATGATTTTCTGCACTTCACGCTTTCTAAAGGATCAAGAGACTGCGCGACAGCTGCTGTGGAAAACACAGCGGATATTTTACGATTGCGCGACGGCTGCTGTGGACCACCCCACGACTTAATAACGTGACGGTTTCACGTCACATGCCGCGGGTTTCGTACAGCAGCAAATGTACACCTACGAAGGAAGAGTTGGGGGGGGGGGGGGGCCCCCCGGGGGGCCCGGTCCCCCGGGACTACCCCTGTACTGGTGTAAGCCCCCCCGGATTCCCGGGGCCCCTGATGTCCCCCTAATACACCCGAAACCCTTACGGGACCCAAAAAAAAAATGGGAGCAGGGAAACCCCGACAAAATCGGGCTCAACAAAATTAACCCGGCCTGTCAAGTTACATCCTCCGTCAGTCCCCCAAACCTTGGGGGCCCCCCGGGGTACCCCTTCCAGTCGGGGGGAGCCATTTCCCCGGGGAGCTCCCGCAGCCTCTGGGGACGGAAAAGGAGGAGGAGGAACACCAACCCCCCCCCCCCCCGCCAGGGTCCTCCCCGGTTAATTAATCCATCATCCCCCACCTTTCCCCACCAGGGGGGGGGGGGGGCCCCCCCAGCTTTCATGCC